GGGGGTTAGGGTCATGCAAACGTAATTTTCAAAAAGGGTTACATGTGAACAATTGCCAACAAAGGGGGGAGGGGGTCATGATTTCTCAAAAGGTGTCAGTCAATGTAATTTATGAATCACGCCTTATAAGAAATAATTTTTCCAAAACTGGCCATGCTACTCACTAATCTACTGTATTACTGTAATACAGTAGTACTGTTTTTCAAAACAATTTTAATAAATCCACGTATTCATTGATATTTAGACACGTAATGCATACAACATAAGCTGATTTCCAATTCATGTTTATAGACAGGACACACCTGTCACACCAAATAAGTTATAAAACAATTTAGATTTCATTCACATTTCTTAGAATTCATGATTGCATCCTGTACAAACAACCAAATTATCATTAAAATTACATATACAATTATTAACATTAAGCATATTAACAGGTGTTAAGTAAATTAAATTTTATACACATGTTAAATATTATAGTTATTTATATTACAAATTCTTAAACAATAAAACTTTAATTGTATTATATTGTATTTGTACTTTACTTAAACAATATTAAAAATAGCTATTGTGATGGACATTCAAAAACAACTTCAAAAACTAGCAGTAATTTATGTGCTCAACGAAGTGCTGACTTCTAGACTAATACACCTTGCTATATTTGTGTACTTACTATTTACACAATATTATTACATAACTCTATTGTACCTAATTTATTTTTACATTGATAGAGATACTCCTAATCGTGGTATGTCTCATAATTTAATTATTGCCAAAATATAATAATTTTTACTAAATATTATATAATTATATATATTGATATAATATATAATACTAAATATATAGTGATTTACTAAAAAAATTGATAATTTTTGACTCAAAAAACCTCCCTCTTTCAAAAACTTGTGAAATAGTATTACTAGTGAATAAATGTGGACCAATTAATCAAAGGGTATACAGTATTACAAGTATAGAGTACTATTTAATATTACCTATAATACAATGATATAAAATTAGAGTTAACATATGGATGGACCGGTGCAGAATAAATACTAGAAATACACATTTCAAACTGTAATGTTGCTATTTCCTATTGTTAATGGGTTTTAGAGAAAAAATTACAGTTTGAAATGTGTATTTCTAGTATTTATTCTGCACCGGCTCATCCATATGACTTTTGGTTATTGGCTCCACTAATGTCAAACTTTGCTACTTATTATACAGCTAATTTGGAATTAATACCTATTGCACTCTTAAAACATATATGGTAATAAATGATAATAATAATAAAATATACCGTAACTAGGTGGTCGTTCGTGGAAGTGGTATCGACAACTTGGCATTTATAGACATTTTGCCGGTTATTTTCCACTGAAATTAGTTAAAACTCATGATTTGGATCCGGATAAAAACTACATATTTGCATGCCACCCGCATGGTATAATATCCCTTTCGCATATTTATCATTTTACGAATAACAGTCCCAGCTTTCAACAACTGTTCAATGGGTTTACTGTACGTATCTGTGGCATTATGTGGAGCTTTTGGTTCCCGCTCTGTCGGGATTCCCTAATGGCTATCGGTATTCAATTATTATACACTATTAGTACATTATTGCATTATGTATACTATTAGATTCTTGACCTACTTACCATTTAGCCTACTGTCAAAAATTTTCTAAGTTACACAATGTTCTAAATATTTACTATGTAAATTGTTATTGTATAACTTATATTATAAAGTACCGTAACATTTAAAATAATTCAAAAATCATTTATAAACCAATCCTTCATTAGTACTATACATTACGATATAAAGTAGTTCAAAGTGGTTTGTTGGTAAAACTGATATTATATTCAAATATTTAACACTAATAAACTTTAAGTATAATATAATTATTTCAATTATAATAAAACTGTTGCTTGTAATCCAGGTCTTATATCGGCCAATAAATCTAGCATCGAATGGTGTTTAAGGTGTGTAATTTAGTTATATTGTATTCAAACACAAATAAAACTATTTATTTGCTATTATATTGATTAGTGGCAAAGAGGGCACCGGAGGGCAAGTGGTGGCTGTGATAGTGGGCGGGGGTCGTGAGGCCCACTACGCAATGCCCTATACTATGAGACTGTATCTCAAACATAGGAAAGGATTTGTGAAAATTGCGTTAAAACACGGGTATTGTATGAATCATACATTTTGTACAGTACTTACTCTATATGTGATATTTACTTTGTAAATTGGATCTGTATTATATTTATGAACTACCAGTGCATCGTTGGTACCGGTGCTGGCATTCGGTGAAAATGAGTTATGGGAGCAAAAAGTATTCGCAAAGGACTCGTGGTTTGGTAAATGTCAGCAATATGCCCTAGCTAAATGCTATGCTACCATACCGATCCTCAAACATATACTTCCCCGGCATATACCAGTTACCACAGTTGGTAAGTATTATACTATATATTGTATAGTAATTGTATTGATACATGTTTTGCATTTAATTATTATGACTAAAATATAATAGTTGGAAAGCCTATAGATGTGCCAAAAGTGGACAACCCTTCCGATGATGCGGTCAATCGACTTCACATTCAGTATATTAATAGTTTGGAGAAATTATTTCATGAAAATAAGTCTAAATATGGTTTCAATGATGTAAAGCTTATTATTGATTAATTATTACCAATTACATTTTTATCATTTGATTTAAACATTTGAATTTGTGTTATGTTTTGTTTTAATTTTATCGTAAATTATTTAATTAAATAAATATAAATAATTATACATGAATTTAATAGCAATCAAGAATATAAGGTTAATTAAATTGTTTGTATTGCCTATTATAAGCCTATTATAAGGAATATTTAAGGTACATGTTTTGAAAATGTTTTTAATTAATATAATAATTATTGGGAATCAATACAGTAATACTTCGTTTAATACAATTTGAGTTTAAAGTTTAAATTAAATTTAGTCGTTAAATTAATTAATCAATTTATAATTAGCATTTAAAATGGGATCTTAATTTCCATTCAAATCCTAATCAGTTGTCTCACGTTTTAATGATATGTCAATCATTTTATTGCCTGAAAATGAAATAAGTTTTAAAAAACAAATTCAAACACATATGATTTATACATTCACAGACAGGTGTTATTGATTTTAAATAAAAGTTAATTCGTGTATTATTTTACTTAAGTTTATATGAAAGTATAAATAATATTACTAATAAGTTGACCAAGCTCTAACACCTGTCTGTAAATGAATTATTCATTTAATTATTAAATTTTAATATGACATAATTGTGTACATATTATTAAAATAAGATAGGTAAGTAATAATAGCAAACTTTTTCTCATCGCTAACATCTTGGGATGAAAGGTAGGGGTCACCGGATAACTATCCCTCAAGTAATTGTCTCTCACATCATTGCTCATATAGTCCTGGTCAAAGGGCCCTTGGCAACTGACCCGGTATCGGTCGACACTTATTTTTAATATATAAAACATTTAATTACTAACAAACATAATATACAGAATAGTATACCAAACCATTTGCCATTCATAACACTTGGTGTCGCCCTATAATGCGGTAATTCTGGTGATCGGCCACTAATTGAATAAAAAAATATTTATGAAAATTGAAAAAATCTTATCAATAATTATAAAAATACCTGGTTGATTTGAGCGGACCAAACTCATCCAGCAATCCCTTAGTGTTATAGGACACTGTTTTGTCCGCAGATGAGTCGACACGTTTTGGTCGCACAGGTATTTCGCCGATAACTTCAATGCTTGTAGTCCTATGTATAACATATAAATTTAATTTAATTAAAATGATTAATACATTTAACAAGTCATGTCTTAAGGTATAAGTATAACACAAACATCTCTGACTTCTTGTCCACAGACTTGCTATCATTGGATCGATATTTGTTGCCATCGGTGGTAACCCCGCCATACAGTGCTTTAACGTATTCATCAATCGACTTATCGGGTCTATTAAATATAAAGCTTATATTTTGACCACAAAATAATACCATACCCAGTGTACATTACCTTTTGTCAACACAATTAGTTCCCATGGGAACTGGGTATCCAAATCGACCCCCACTTTGGGCAACACCTCTGAGCCCATCCAATGACTTCTTATTCTCATCAAAAGTCTTAGCTTTCATTTGATTATCAGTTGCTTTTTGTGGCACATCTTCGACACCATCATCACTGTCTGTGACATCGATCACATCCGCGATGTCCTCCAGAGTAGACATCGCATTGTCGTTATCTTTATTCATACCGACCAACAGATGGTTAGCTCT